TAATGGTTCCAAAACCAAGGACAAGTAGAGTAGACCCATCGACCATCATCAATTGTGACATGGGATGAAGGCATAGGTTTACTGAAATTGGAAAATAATCCTATGATTACTTGTCATGTGATTCGAATTCCGAAGCACCTAAATCTATAACCCATTTAGAGATAGAGGATAATAAGTATTTACTAGATTTACATGTCCCGGTAAATACAACAGTTGGATTCTCTGTTCCCATGAGTTGAGCATACTTATCACCAAGTATATTGTTAATGTTCTCCAAAAGTAGAGGAAACATGTGATGAATGGGTCCTTCTGATTTCTAGCCAATAGCTTCTTGCATGTGTGTTCAATATAACCGAGATCAAGGCAATAGTAACACTCGACATCATCAGAAGTTTGCGAGTTAGTGGTACGGTTACTATGACCACTTTTGAAGTTCCCTGTGGCCCCTACGAGATCCTCCTTAAAAACTGCCATGAAATCCTCTTTTACTAACTAAGGCAATACAATGATCAGAGGTTTGAGAGGATGATGGTTCTTATTTTGATAAACATAAAAAAAAATGTTTCCTAATGGGAAGGAAATGCATATTCGTTCAAAAACTTAGATCTGATACCACCTCTGGTATTAGTACGAATAGAAAACTTATAATGGAAATATGCCTAAGTTTTCATAACTTTCATATTAACACTCAAGGTAGTCTATTAGTTCCTTTACCATAGGTTATGACCCTCACAAATGGGGGAATGTATGTGAGATGGGAGGTTATTCTCATGCTCTTGAGATAGAGTCGAATAGTTTCATTCCATTCAAGTAAGTTGGAGTAGTTTAAATTGTTATCAGTGAGTCTAACAGCTACCACCTTAACAACAATACGTGGTCCACTACTACTACTAGACATTTGTCATCTCCTCCCGAAGTTTTAAGAGGACAACTTGAACTCAAAATCACATAAAAATGAGAAAATGAATAGAACCAGATTGGAACCCAAAAAATCTCGAATGGTGAAATATGAACCAATAGGATTGGTAGAATTCCAAATGTCGGCACCACACCAAAAATCAAAATCAAAACCATGCTCACACGCTATCACGTGCCAGTGCATGGTCGAACATTTAAAATGAGATGCAACACGTGTGGCTCATACTATGTTCAGAATGGTGACATGTTTTCAGGACTTCCTAATGAGGGAATTCTGAAGACAACGATGATGGCATTGAGACAAAACACACTCTTGAAATGGCCATTCGTGATAACAAATTTGATAGGTTTGTACTTATAGATTACCCCGTTCACAACCAAAACCAAACCAACTATCCATTAAAAAGAATTCTCTCTCTTCCACCTATGAACCCTAACTTTTCACACCCGTCAGCAAACCAAGTCAAACCATTTTTTATTATATAAATAAACTTTAAGATTATTTTTTATTCTATTAATATTTATTAAAAAAAATAAAAATAATTTATTAGTTAAAATTAATAAATTATTTATTTTAAATATAAAACTAAATAAAAGTATTTTACATTTATGAAACAATTTAACTTAATAAAATAGATAAACTAAGTTAAAATCAAAACATGAAATACAAGATTACTGATATAGAAGGTGCAAAAACAACATAATCGTCCATTAATGCCAAAAAATTTCCGTATATGCTCAATCAAATCGTTTTAAGCGTGTTATGACCTTCTTTATTATGAAGTTGTGCCATTTTGGTCATATAACTGGATAGGTCTGCAATTCGTTGAGTGGAATATTCTAAATTTTTTCGTCAACTTCAATAGAGGTTCTTCATTGTCGATTTGTCGACCTGTCATCTAGAAATTCAGATGGATCATAATAGTGAAGGTATGTACCACGATAATATTATGATTGATAATACACACAATCATAATTTTCCTCATAATATCCTTGTCCATAAAAAAATGGGTGTCAAAGAAATGTAAAACGAGATTGTAGAACTCCAAATTCTTGTTCAACATCGTTTTTAGTGGCCTCTTGATGTTCAACAAACAACTTGTGTTTCCGAAGTTGGGGGGAGTTATTGACTTGACAAAAGCAACCCATGAAGGATATATACCATCAGTGGGATAATATTCCATATTAGTTTCCCGTATATTCTTGACGCAACTCCTATGGGTGTTCGGTCTACTAAGACATCATCAAAATGGGATAATACGCCATATTAGTTTCCCGTATATTCATAACGTAACTCGTATGGGTGTTCAGCCTGCTAAGACATCATCAAAAATAGGAGATCGGCTGAGGACGTTAATGTCATTGCACATACCTGGTGTTCGAAAGAATGTATTCCATATTTATAAGTCATACAATGCAATGGATTCCAAAATGATTGTTGGTTTACTGCTTCTACATGCATATTTTCTAGCCTAAGCGGTTGGGCAATTTTTCCATATCCAGTTCATATAATCAATGCTTCCTATCATACCTAGAAATCCACGTTACTCCCTATACGAAGTAGTCTTGCCAAATCAGCTTCATTGAGCCTTCTAAGATACTCTGTACTGAAACATGAAATGATACCTTCTAAAAACTTTATTACAACATCCCTTGTCACAATTTCCCTCATTCTCAAATACTCATTGTGTGCATTTGTTGATGTCCCCTATGCCAAGACCTGCATAGGTATGATATTTTTGCAATAAGGAAAGACCTTGTCTACCGGTAGTGTTTGTTGAAAATATAGGTCATTAGTTGTAACAATTTTCACTATATGGATAAATAGTGATCTTTGTATACGAAATCTACACTGAAAGGTATCTTGATAATATGTTGGTTTTCAAAAAAGTAGTCCTCCATTAAACGTGTCTCATCCTGCTCACGTTCTTAATCACAATACCCGCTTCTTGATATGGGAGGGTGATCTTATATTAATAATTCAATGATGAGTTCATCAAGTTTTCGATTATGTTGAACGACCTGTGCTTCCCATTTTGAATATTTATTCGAACTAGATGAGTTTTCATTATAAGACATTTTTCAAAGAGGTAAAATAAATGAAGAGTTAGTGTTGGATATTAATGTATAATGGTCCTATAGTCTATTGATACTAAAAAAATGATTTAATTTTTATATAATTATGAATAATGATGATGTTAAATTGCTTTATCTAAATAAAATCTAAGCATCCAATACAAGGTTGACACCTGAAAATGAAGATAATATTCGATTTGGTAGATGATATGATGAAATTGACAGCTCAATGTTCAATAAATATGATACTGACGACTCAATGTGTAAAAAGGATTTATGAACAACAACATTACTTAATAAAATATATTACAAATAAGTGAGATACAAAAGTACAATATCTTACAAATACATGCCACATAAAACTCCATAATAAAATGTCTTACAAGTGCATTAGAAGATAAACCAAAAATAAAACACATAGTGAATGGTAATTAGTTTTCATAAAACTTTGACATCAGAAAATGTTTCATGTTTTCTTCTTCAAGTGATAAATGATACTTTTGTAGCAGTGTGTTCAGATGCATAAGTTGCATCTTCATTAGCTCCATTTTGTTTATTTTTTGCTCCCTTTCTTCCATTTTATCCCTTTCTTTATCCAATTCGATTCTTTTTTCATGACTTCAAGTTTATTTTCTCTAGTAAGACACAGTGAATGAAGTTCTATAGTAATTTCATTAGAAGCCTTACCTTTTCCCTTTTTTAGCTGCATCACAGCATGTTAGATGTTTAACTGTTCTCTAGTTGGCATTTTTGGGTTGGAATGGACACAATACTACCCTTCTTTAGTAGTCCTTGATCTTTTTGTGCTACCACCACTTTTTTCATTACCCGCTTCACATTCAGGACGATAACATGTTATGTCACGATGTAACTCTAAAACCCATTTCTCGTGTTTACACATAACTTCATTAAAAAAAATAATGTCGTTAAAGTTGTTCCTACTTGCCTCATAAATTTTATGGGCTTCATTCTCAGCATCTTTCTCGTTCTGACTCATTCCATTTGTTCGGCGATTTGCTTCCTTATAAACACCAACCCACTTTTGTGCATTTTCACTCAGTTGCTTATAATGACCACTCATTTGATCTTCGTTCCTGCTATTAAGCTTTTATGGATATTCAGCCTGATCGGCATCATACAATTCCTTTATTTGTTCCCCCAATGATGCTTTTTTTTTGGTTTTTTCCACACTTCTTATCTTCACTAGCAAAACACCATGCTATGCTGATATTAAAGCGACATTTTCAACATCATTCCATTTATAGCCTCGTGGTTGTTTTTCAGTATTTTGTGATGTTTGAAGATTATTTGTAACATGGTCTTGGTTGGGATTTGAAAAAAAAAATAAAGAGTTTTGAGGATTAGAATAATTTTAAGAGACTCCAAGATTTATGTAAAAATTTGGAAACGAATCATCCATATTTAGAAAATACAAATCAAAAGAGATTAAAAATACAGAATGGAGATTCGATATGAAAATATGATGATATCATACTTTATTTATAGATAAAACAAGTTTTAAATATCAGTATTTTTTAAAATGGATAATTTTTAATTTTATTGGATATATAATTTTATCCTATAAAAGTCTTAGGTTTCATTTTCATTAAGACAAGTAGCTTAAAATATATAAAAAAAATGACCAACTTGACCGTTGATACACCCACTCCGTCGGTGGGTTTTGCTTCAATTTCTCATTTTTTTAAATATTATTTTGGTGACCGATTGATTTTTTTGTCACCAATGGGCATAGTCTAACCTAGTTATGATACAATATAATCACAAACTCAATAATACTTATGTGTATCATCTTGATCTAAAACTAGGGAAATGTAATATATAGACCGAGGGAAACCCTAATCCAGGGAAAGATAATCTCTATGCTCAATGAGAATTATCACACATAAACATTCTAACATGAATAAAATAACTAATTGATGATGGATTAAAGTTTACCTTTGTTTATTTTTGGTGTTAATTGTTATCATGGCATATTCGCATGATAGGAAATATACCGTATCAAGCTTCCAGGTAATCCTTCAAAAATCGGTGAAGGAAAACCTGAAAACCAAAATCATGCGATTATTTTTACTCGTGGAGAAGCGTTGCAGACAATCGACATGAATCAGGTAATTTAGTACTTTACAAAAGTTTCTTTTTTATTATCTTTTAGAAGCATTGTCAAATATCTTAAATTATATATATAGGACAATTACTTTGAGGAAGCATTCAAAATGAGAAATGTATTGGAGGAATTTCATAAGGATCAACGTGGCCAACGTAGACCAACAAATATTGGGGTTGAGAGAACATATCTTCACCGGAAGGTCTGTATAGTTTCATATTTACTTATTATAAAGCTTGTGATATTAAACCTTCCAAAAGCCACATTCCCCACTTGCATCTCATATATATGGGAGAAGTGAATATACCCTAAATGTATATAAGCTTAGGTATCCAAACCTAAGATAATACACTGTTTTGTATCATATATGCATTATAAGGCTCTTAAACTTCAACCCTAACTTGATTTACTTTCAAGATTTTCAAAATTTCACTATTATGTTACTCTTACATCACATCTTTCTGCAGACCTACCAGGCTATATATTATAATTGAAAATGAAAATTACTTAAGAGGAAGATAATGGTAGAATTTATAAAAATCTTGGAAGTAAATCAAGTTAGTATTTGAATTTTAAGAACTTTGGACGATTACAATGCATATATGATACAAAACGAAGTAATATAATGAGCTTGGATGTCTAAGCTTATATACCTTTAAAGTTATATATGTTGGAATAATTAGGGTTTATGTTGGAGATCTGGATACCCATTGGATCGTGTGAACACTTTCCGAACTGATATTTCTACCCTATGCCTGGGTTGCAAGAAATTCAGCCTAGGATAATCCAAGATGACACGTACGAATCTAGGCACAAAATCGTAAGCCAAATTTCCGGAAGGATTCTATGTTCGTCTGAAGAAAAGAGAGCTAATGGTTGCGTCCCTCTTCTCAAAGTGAAGAGTCGTTTATATAATAAACGAGATTTAGAGTTTGGCTCTTAGAGATGGCCGTTATGGGTTGCTTTGGAAGCAAGTCAAGGAAATCCGGAATTTAATAAGGAAATCAATGGTTTCCATAACTGACGAATTTGATCAGTTTTACCATAATCAACCTCAAGATAATCACCCCAGCCAAGGTCTCTGCCACTTAGACCCCACTAGGGGCGCTACCCCTAGACCCCGCCAAAGGGGCGCTGCCCCTTTGGAAACCCCAGACCCAGGGGCGCTGCCCCCGGACTCCTGACTTGTCGTTGAACCTACTTCTAAGTTGATCTTATACATGCGTGCACTTCGCACATACCTATACATATATTAGAGTACAAATTATGAAGCCCCTTAGCTCACATGTAAGTTCCAATTACATAAAATGACATGGTAACACTAAAATCACCAACAATATATATATATATATATATATATATATATATATATATATATAATATTACATTTTGGCTTATAAATAGAAGTTGTATCAGGTCATTGTAACCCACAATTGAAGTAATGCCTTTTCTAGTAAAAAGGATTTTGATAACACCTAATTTTTTGTCCCATGTTACCATCTATTTTCCTTTGTATTTCCGGCCACTATAACCAATCATTCTCTATGGTTTTTAGCACTAAACTACAACACACACATTGATCATATAAGCCCCGACAAAGCCTTTCTAACTTGTGTTGGCCAAAACTTTTAATGAATGGAAGGTTACCTTAATTCTTTCACTCGTTGAATTATTTTGCAGTGTATCATCACTAGCTTGGTTCACGTCCAACCAGGAGACAAGTTTTGTGACAATTGGCCAAAGGGTTTTAGCAGACCCTCTGAGGTATGATAATGAAAAATGGTTAAATGAAATATCAACTTTGCTCTATGAATTCATTAATAGTTAGAATATTTATGCTTCACAGGGTGCGATTCCATTACGGTCACCCAGATATATTTGACAGGCTCTTTCACATCACAAGGGGTGGCATAAGTAAAGCTTCAAGAACCATCAACATGAGCGGCGATATATTTTCAGGTAAACTTTCTCATCATCCCAAAGATATTATGTTGTAGAACTGTTTCCACACAACAAAGACTTAAAATAGTGCAAAACTAGTTCTAATGTCTTTAAAGTTATGTTCTTGAACTGCCCTACATTTTTCCAGGTTATAGTTCAACTCTGCGTGGAGGTTATGTCACACATTATGAATATATCCAAGTAGGCAAGGGCCGTGATGTTGGTATGAATCAGATATCCCTTTTTGAATCCAAAGTTGCAAATGGAAATGGTGAACAGACACTTAGCCGTGATGTTTACCGACTTGGTCGCCGCTTTGATTTTTACCGAATGTTGTCATTCTACTACACCACAGTTGGTTTCTACTTTAGCAGCATGGTATAACAAAATAAAAACTACTTCTATTTACTTATTACTTTTACAATATTATTACTTGCATTAAATAACTTCTTTTGATCCAGGTTACTGTGCTTATTGTTTATGCATTTTTATATGGACGTATATATATGGTTATGAGTGGGTTGGGAGGGCGAATAGTAGAAGATGAAAGTCTTAATAGCAACAAAGCCCTAGAAGAAGCTTTAGTCATCCAATCTGTCTTTCAGCTCGGTTTACTTCTCATGCTTCCTATAGTTATGGAAATAAGTCTAGAAAGAGGATTTCGCACCGCATTACGCGACTTTATCGTAATGCAACTCCAACTAGCCTCTGTGTTTTTCACTTTCCAGCTTGGAACGAAAGCACATTACTTTGGAAGAACAATTCTACATGGAGGTTCAAAATATCGCGCCACGGGTCGTGGTTTTATTGTCTTCCATGCAAAATTTGCAGATAATTACAGGCTGTATTCGCGTAGTCACTTTGTGAAAGGGCTAGAATTGGCTATTCTGCTTATTATCTATCAGGCGTATGGGAACTCATACCGAAGTTCAAATCTATACTTATTCATTACGTTCTCGATATGGTTCCTGGTTGCTTCATGGTTGTTCGCTCCTTTTGTGTTCAATCCTTTGGGAATTGACTGGCAGAAAACGGTGGAGGATTGGACGGATTGGAAAAGGTGGGTAGGAAATCGTGGTGGGATTGGAATTGCACAAAATAAAAGTTGGGAATCATGGTGGGATGCAGAACAGCAGCATCTTAAGTACACAAACAAAAGAGGCAGAATTCTTGAAATTATACTTGCGTGTCGGTTCTTCATTTATCAGTATGGACTTGTGTATCGTCTTAATATTGCAGGTGGCAGCAAAAGTATACTGGTTTGTTTCCTCCTTCCTAGTTTATTGGTCTTGTATAGGGTGCAATCTATTCTCATTAATTATTTTATTTTGTCAGGTTTATGCGCTTTCATGGTTGGTCTTGATATCTGCTCTTCTAGAATTGAAGGTAAAAAACTAAGTTGATTATCTATGATTATGTGGTAGACCTAGAAAGGCAATGCAAATCTTGAAAGCCTAATTGTATGGTGTATACTCTTTTTGTCAGTTGGTCTCAATGGCCAAACAGTTTGGCACATATTTACAGCTCATGTTCAGGATCTTAAAGGCATTTCTCTTCCTTGTCTTCCTTTCGAACATGACGGTCTTATTTGTTGTATGTGGCCTGACCATCAGTGACATATTTGTTGCCTTCCTTGCCTTTGTGCCAACTGGTTGGGCATTCATCTTGGTAAGTAACCCTTTGGATCAGTGTAGACTTGAGTGGCGTTTTTTTTTACTTAATAGGCTTAATGAGTTAAACACTTAATCGAGATAACTATACATGGCTGTTAATCTCACTTCAACTAGAAAAAATGACTTAATGGGTTGAGACATAAAAACTGGCTTAATGGTTTAACACTAACTTGGCCTTTATTACCTATGTGTCCTTTTCTTTTCCTCCCAACTCGTCACATTAAAGTTGATGAATATTGTGAAATGTAAGTAAAATAGTCATTTAGTTTCATTCAAATGGTTTATTAGGATTAGAGACAGATCTTACCTAAACAACACTTTATCCAGATCCAGACAAACATCATTAACTATTCATCCACTTTACTCATACATGAGTTGATGGGAAAAAAACAGCTTCTTAAGTTGTTGGTTCAAATTTTCACAATAGTTAATCAGTTTATCAAGCATTTTGAAAAAATAAAACAATAGTCAAACCTATGTGTTTCTTTTTTACTTAATGTAGAAAGAATGAACTAATAGAGAATGTCATGGAACTAGGACTTTCCCCAATAAGTCTTAACTTTTTACTAATTTATCTCACTCCTTCCATTTCCCCCAAGTGTACTGTCATTATTTAAAATATATTTATTGATAGTGTTTGTTTTATGGAACTATGAAGATTGCTCAAGCGTGCAAGCCTTATGTAAAAGTCATAGGATTTTGGGACTCGGTAATGGAGTTAGGACGTGCATATGAGTGCTTGATGGGATTGGTAATATTTATGCCAATTGTCGTACTATCATGGTTCCCTTTTGTATCAGAGTTCCAAACAAAATTGCTTTTCAGTCAAGCATTGAGAAGAGGTCTTCAGATTTCAATGATTCTTGCTGGGAAGAAGGACAAGGACAAGACTCAGCCAACTTGATAGGTAAAATCAGTCAACACCTTGTTAACAACTCAAAGAAAGTTTTGAATTTAGAACACTTCAATCCAAGATTTCATTTCTACATATGTTTTTTATCTGAATGTATTCTTCAAATTCAAAATTCTTTTTAATGTTAATTGTAATTACAACTTATAATAGTTATTTTTTTGAGATCGGATCTTGATGAACATTGTCTGAGATTATAGTCATACATGTTCAAATATATATATTGATGACATTAAAGGTAACAGATTTGTCTTGAAGAAGTCTACGGTTGTTTGATGTTCTCTAAACCTGAATCTTAGATGAAGTTGCAATAATCATTTCTAAGTTCTTGACAAATCTTATTTTGATTCACCTAGGCACCTCAAAAAAAATCGAGGAAGTTTTACCATTCTGGTTTTATTTTTGTTCAATTTAAATGAAAAGAAGTAAAATGTAACTTGTTTCACCATTGACTTGACAATGATATGATAGTAAAATCATTGACATGACAACATATTTGAAATAATTTTGAATGAATTATATAAATTGTCCTTGTAGTTTGCCAAAAATTATTGATTGTCCATATCCTAAAACTTTAACCATCTCCTTCTCCCATTATCAGTCCATGTGGTTTGGTATTTGCAACTCTTGTCCTTAGTCGATTTAAAATGATCGATTAGCCCTCCTCTTTTTTGTATTTATTAATTATTTAATATATTATAATAATTAATATAAATATATGAATGGTCCCACCCTCCGCCCCCTCCATCTCCCTCACCCTCTCCCCTTCCCTATCGCATGACCTTTCTTCTCCCTTTGTTTTCTCCGACGGCCAGTGCCATCGCCGATGAGAGCACCATTGTTGAATCCATGAAGCTAGAGAGATTCATTGTTGATTGCATCCTAACTCTCCTCCCTACCGTCTCCCAGTACCACACTTAATCTCTTTGCTAATGCATACAAATTCAATTTTAAAGATATAGTATAACACCTAGATTCAACTTCGCATGGAGGGAGTAATCATTTCATCGACCATGTATCTGCTTGGCATTGGCAATGCTTGAGAGGAGCACAAGATACACATTTTCAAGAACTGTTCCATAGCCAAGGAGATTCCCATATTCGTGGGATCTTGATCATTTGGTGGAATTATCTTATCTTGAATGACTCATCTGATGCCTTCCTAGGGATAAACTCGACTTATAGTGTGGGCAACATGTCTCAAGATTTCTTGAATCAATTTCAAGGGCACTGCTACGGACAATATAAGCGTATAGGAATGGTATGATCTTCAATAACAAGATGAAGAGATTATCTACTCTAGCTTATGAGGTCAAGATTTTCAGCAGTTTATGGTTTAAAAGTATAGCTAAATGGGGCAAGGATTCGTTATTGGACTCTTGGGTTAACAACCTGTAACACCTTGTTTCGAGTCGCTTCATAATACAGGGCCATGACCCGAAGATCAAGTATCAAAAGGCTTCAGGCTTTGGGAAAGAGAGGTGTAGACCCATTTAGATGTGGGTAATGTAGATTATGTGATCCAAGAGTTCGGTTTGTGCTTTGGAGTCAAAGGGTAAAATGGGAAAAGTGGTGTTTTAGACTTCTATTATGAATTAATATTTTTATTTCGATGTGTTTTAAGTCAAAAGTAATTAGATAAGGTTGTAGAGCTCCTCAATACCTTTCCGTGGATACAAAGATCATCGAAAACGGAGTTGGAACGAAGAAGTTATGATCGTTAGAAGTTAGGAAGGTTTCGGGCTTAGTCTAGTATGCTGGGCGTACAGGAAGTACGTTGGGCAACTGGGAATCCCTAGTAAGCTAGGCGTACTAGGAGTATGATGGGCGTACGCGATCAGAACCCAAACCCTATTTTCGTGGTTTGAACCCTATTTAAGCTCCTTAACTTCCCCAAACCCATTCCATTCTCAGCCTCCACCTCTCCAACACCCTCCCTTGAAAACCCTAACCCTAGTTTGAGCCTTTTGAGCAAAATAAGGTGTTCTTGAGTGCTTTGGAGTGTTCTTGGTGCATCATGGAGAAGAAAGAGCTCTTTGGAGAAGTGTTGGTTGCATTGGAGCTTGTAGATACAGACTTTGTTCACCTTGATCTTTCTTCTAGAGGTATAAAGCTTGAATCTTGATGATGCATTTGTTAGATCTAGCTAGTTTTGTATGTTATGAGCTTTTGGTCACTTTAGTGCATAAAGTTTAGATGTTGAAAGTTTGTGACCTTGTTATGGATAAAGTTGGAAACTTTATCTATCTAAACATCACATTGATTCATATCTAAAGGTTGGAGGCTTGGACTTAATGTATTAAGTTGAAAAAAAGATGCACTTTTGGTCCCTTTGAGACTTAAATACTAGATCTTGGTTGTTTGGACCGTTCTAATGGATAAAGTTGGAAACTTTATCCATTATGGAGTTATTAGGAACCATAAAAATGTGATCTTGGGCATTAGTTTCCTTCCATGCATGATCTAGGTTGTCTTAATGGGTCAAAAAGATAGGGTTTTGATGTAAAGGTCTTATTAGCCATGCAATACCATAAAGTTGGAAACTTTATGTTTAAGAACATCTTTTGAGGGATAGATCTGAATTGTGGACGAAAGAGCTTAAGGATTAAGCTCTTAATGGGAAGAAGGGGGTGACAGTCGCGTACGTCGGGCATACCAAAGGGTATGATGCGCGTATGTGGTCAGCCCCTCGACTCTGGTCAAACACATAGTATACCCTGCGTATCTGTTGAGTACGCCCCAATGTACTCACTGAGTTGACCCGGTTGACTTTGGCTTTGACTTTGACTTTGACCATGAGTTTGACCTAGGGGTATTTTGGATATATTGATTATAAATTAAGTTTGATCATGATCCAATGAATAGGTGACTGGTAGAGCTGATATTCGGAGCAGTGCCCTGTTCAGCGATCGTTCAAATTGAGAGGTGAGTCTTCTCACAGTACTTACGGGTCGAAGGTACCAATGTCGGCCCATTGGATTATTGTAACGCCCCGATTTTCAGGTATTGATTTAATATAAAGTTTCTTGATTTCAAGGGCCACTCGACGAGTTGGTTGCCCTACTCATCGAGTAGCAGCAGGTTAGTCCACGCGTTTTAATGACCTACTCGCTGAGTCCAAGGAGGGACTCGACGAGTAGGAGCTGGCAGATGAAACCCTAAATCCCGGGGTTTTGCACCCTATTTAAAGGATCAACAGCCTCCCTTTATCCCCCTTGCAGTCTTTTGAGAACCAAACCAACCCTAATTCGTGTGTGTGCTTCATTTTGTGTGTTATAAGTTTTGGAAGGTGAATCTTAGTGAGGAAAGCTTGGAGAAACAAGTGGCTAGAAGCAAGGAACTTGTGGGGATCATAAATCTACATCGGTTAACATCATTTGAAGGTATCAAGTCGTCACCTTTACCTCATTCCTTTCTAGATCTCATTTGGGTGGAGTTTAGGGTATTTTTGGCTTGGTTATGATGATATTGTGGTGTATGAACTAGATCTGAAGTTGCAACTTCAGATCTGGACCCTTCTTGGGTTCCAGGTTCATAAAGTTTTGAACTTGGTCCTGCATGAAGCCTTCCTTGAGTGTAAAACTCCATTATAGTCATAGATTTTCCATTTAGAGCCTTTAGAGCCTTACATGCACGTAAAGTTTGCAACTTTACGTGATAAACATGCCTTGGGAAGCTGGATCTACAATATGGAGCCTTAGCATGGATTAAAAAGCATCTGTATGGATGAAGGATTGAAGGGACTCGGCGAGTCGCAAGGTCGACTCGGCGAGTCATATGAAGATGGGCATGGACTCGACGAGTTGATGAACAACTCGGCGAGTCCGTTGAAGATTGCCTTGGACTCGGCGAGTCAGGCGAAGACTCGGCGAGTCGGCTAGGGTTTTTCTCAACCTTTGGACACGTATGAACTCGACGAGTTATAAGGGAACTCAACGAGTCAACCTAGGATTTCACGACTTCTCGAGTTCAGGAAGAACTCGACGAGTCGGTGAACTGCACTCGACGAGTTGGGTCAACATGAACTGTTGACCTTGACTGTTGACTTTGACTTTGACCCATGGTTGACTAGTTGACCTCTGGGGGTATTTTGGTAATTTGGAGATTTATGGAATAAGGGTTTTATGGTAACTATAGGTGGTAGAGTTCGTGTTGGTGATTCGAGAGTTTGAGCCTAACATTTTCAGTGCGACATTATGAGGTGAGTTACCCTCACTATATCAACAGGGTCTAAGGCACCAGGGTCGACCCTTTATATATTGTATCAGGATTATGGCATGATATGTTTATCGATTAGGTCCTGGTTATAGGATAATGCTATGTTAGTGACCGGTTAGGCCTGTATCCCGGTTATTGGGATGTTGCTATGATTAGTGATATGTTAGATCGGTTTGACTGTTATACAATATGAGCTAGCGTATGGTATTTATGTGCACTCGTTCGTGGACTGGGGGTTGGGTTGAGGTGGTCCTGCTTTGTGTTGTAGGCCAACATACCCGGGGAGCGGTCCGGATAGGTTGTAGGTCCTGCGAGGCGGTCCAGTCATGCCGAAGGCTCGGGAGCGGTCCAGATAGGCTGTAGGCCCTGTGAGGCGGTCCAGTCAGGCTGAAGGCTCATTATGCATGCTGATGTGAAATTGTTATTTGTGGTGGTTATTTTGTTATGGAGTTGGTATTTTGAGGGAGTTCACTAAGCTTTCGGGCTTACAGTTTCAGTTTATTGTTTCAGGTACATCAGGGGACCGCGGCAAGGCGAAGGCATGATCGCACCGCTCCTCATGATTTGCTTATGTTTCTGGGAAAACTTTGATGTTAGATATTTTAAAAACAACTTTGTAATAATGATTGGTTTTTAAATATTTTGAAAAAGTTTTAAATTGGCATGAAATTTTTGGGTGTTACAATTATGTTATAGAATGCTAGCTGTCTTTGTGACTCTTGCATGTATTGTATGTGTTTGTATGTATACCGGGCGGGGACTGATGAGTATATTGGGTGGGGCCCATCGCATGTTACTGACAGATATGTTCCGAGCGGGGCCCGATGGTTGTCAGGCAAGGCCCATTGTATGTATGGTATGAGGTATTTTGGGGAACTCACTAAGCTTTGTGCTTACGGTTTTACATTTATGGTTTCAGGTACTTCCGGTACGAAAGGAAAGGGCCCAGTGTGACTGCACCGCATCCACCAGAGTTTTTCGCATTGGCAATTTTCAATATTTTCTTTGATGTTTAAATAATATATTCACTTTGATCGGTTTTGGAACAACTCGTTTGTATGGTTTATTGTTTAAAAAAATATGAAAATTTTACTTTGAATTTTTGGAATGTTACAAGTTGGTATCAGAGCCTTGGTTTGAGGGATTCAGACACAGTCTCGGGGTGTGTCTGAACTCAAAATGAGGAAATGGTAATCTTTTGAAAGAAAATAAGTTTTCTAAAAGGATTTTTATAAAGAAAAAATGGGTGTGAGAGTAATTGATTCCCAGAATACCTATACATGTTTGTTATGATATATGTTATGAGAATTGCATGCTAGTATGGATTACAGATGATTGGGAGAGTTTGGCCTAATTATATGATGTGTTGGTTAGATTTTTCGATGTCCAAATGTTGCATGCTTTGTGATTTGTGGGACTCATATTAATGTGAGCTAATTATTTCATGAATATGTTAAGTTGCATGCCGCAAAGGTTAATAATCTTAGAGTGATGGGCTTAACCCTATTACGCAACTCTTGTCCGAGTCCAACTGCTGTAGGGATTGAGTATTTTACTCGAAGGATTATCTAAGCTTTATTGAATGTAATTGTATTCATGAAAGCAGTTAGCTGCATTTAGTGGGAGTTCTTCAGCAGCTGATGGTAGGGTGAGGTCAGGAACCTAGGAGAGCCTAGGAAGTGCTTTAGTGGGTATGATTGCATTGTTTAGCAGGTACTTGGAGTACCTATTTGAGAAGGTAACTTGGAGGATTCTGGATAACTCTTGAGGAAAGTGTGAGTAGGTGTGGAAGGTAGTATTGGTCCTCTACTATTGAAAGCACAGGATCCCTACTCGAATCGAGGGGAGTCATGGAGGATCTAGGAAGCCTGAGGGATGAGGTGTGACATCCCCATTTTCACGGCCAGAAAAGACTGATTTTGTTTATGCTTTATGAAAAATCAGAGTACCTCTTTTAATAAAAATGTTGCAGAATTTGTTCCTAGAAAAACACGATAAATACGTTATCAAATCATTTCCGAAGAAACGTATTTTATTCATTTTAAAACATTTGGGATGTCATCGTCAATACAGAAACATAAGCATAAACAGAACTTACATTCATTTACACTAGTGATTTATATCTCCTTAATCTCTCAGTGTAATATAACTTCATATCGACACCTGTGATACAAATAAACTGAGTGGGTCAGGTTGGGAAACCTGGTGAGTACATAGGGTTTTCAACCCACAATAATATAATTATTATGTTTAATCCTCAAACAGTTAACCCAATTACCCATCCCCATTATCTTCTTTATTCTTAAGGATCTACCCTAAGAATTAGCTATTTCTCGTTCATTCATTCCTAAGGATTATCCTAAGGAATAGGTACGAAGTCCATCATTGTCAATGACCATCTGTCAAGCACAGCTGCTAGTTCTATCACTTAGGCGCAGCTGCCAAAATTGTGACATTCTCTACGAGGCGCATCTGCCGGTATTGTCCTTTAGGCGCAGCTGCCAGGGTTATCTCGTTTATCGACAGTATCGTTTCCGAGAATTCACTCGCAATACATGTCAATGGGTTTTTAGAGTACACCGGTGAACACATCGTTCACAACACCTACAGGTTGCGAGCCTGCTAGTGTTCCACGGGGCCAACATTTGGGTACAAGGCTTCTCACATCGTCCACCTCTCACCCTCACCTCATGGTCTATTTCACCTCTCACCTCATCATCCGACTCATATTTCATCTACCCATGTTTTACCCAACATATCTGTAGATATAAAATACATATACAGTTTAAATCATTTAAAACGTGTATAAAATAGTTCATCCAGCATAGACAACAAGTACTCAGATAATATGCACACATAGCACGTAATTTATATTAAATACTTCATATCTATGTGTAAGATGAAAGTAACTATGCACTCACTTGATAAGGTGGTGACTCGGCACTCGGACAGCACTTCGTTATTGTTAAAACAATTTCCCTCGGACAAAACCTAGTATTAATACCACTAGGGTTTAGTCTAACGTTAACCGCGATTAATTAATAGTCTAGCTATTATTATTATTATTATATAAGCGTTAAGAAACACTCTTATATAACTAATATCCCAAATAATTATTTTAAGGTCCTAATAATGTTACTATAATTAATTAGAAGCTATATTAAAAATAGCGTAGGCGTAGCTCACTTACAGTGGGTTTTCTCGAAAATCGGGCTTCGCTGGAGCAGCGTTCCCAAGCCGAAAGGATCTTTTCTCGGGACTTCGGGAGCCTCGGGGCTTCCTTCGGGTGCTAGGGGGTTTACCTAGGCTTTAGGGGGGGGGGGGGGTTAGGGGCTAGAGAGAGAGTCTAGAGAGAGAAAGAATGGTTTGGAAAGGTATGAGAATGAATGGAACCCGTAACCTCTATTTATAGGCTGAATTCCTGATGGACTCGCCAATTCGGTTCACTGACTCACCAAGTTGGTGCCACGTGTCATCACCTGATGGCTTTTCTTGGGGAGAAAGCCTTGGCCCATATTCAGCCACGTCACCCCTTTTGCAGCAGCACCCTGCCGACTTCTAAACCCCGTAACTTTCGCATACGAGCTCCGTTTTTGACTTTCTTTTTTTTCCACGCATAGGTAAAAACAAGATCTACAACTTTCATTTAGACTCCGTCGGCTAATTCTAAACCGATCTTAAATTTAACAGTAGGAGGAGATTAGACTGTTAAATGACCACGAAGAATTCGTAACTCCTTCATACAGACTCCGTTTTCGTCTGTATTTTTACCGTTGAGTTCCTATTAATGAGATCTTCAACTCTCATTAAGGTTGCGTAAGCTAAAAACCGCTCGAACTAAAATTCAAGTTTCGGGTCGTGCACTGCTATGCCAAATCTTAGAAAAATCATAACTTCCTCATACGAAGTCAGATTTGGGTGTTCTTTTTCTGTATGTTCTCGATTTAACGTATACCATAACTTTTGTTTAGATCACTAAGGCTAAAAAGTCATCTATCGTAAATTCACTATTTACGTCTCCCGGTGTCGTGCCGGTTTTGCCGAAAAACTTCGACGGGGCATAACTTCTTCGTTATAACTCGGATTTCGGCGCTCTTTATATGTACAGAACCCTTGAGACATATTCTACAACTTGGTTAAGATTATTTATTCTAAATAATCTTTTGTCGAAAAGTCGTTTTCGACCCCTATTATCTCTAAATTGACTAGCCCGGATATACGGGCGTTACAATTATCTCCCCCTTAGGATGATTACGTCCCGGAATCATCAACGAAACAGGACTCACATGATGACACCATACGGTATCTCTTCATCCTAAGTAATAACCGTAACTTTCATGTTTCTTCGAACGAGTATCTAACTCTAAGACTTCCTGACCGCAGGCGGTGCCCGATCTTGGACCCGCTCTCTATCTCATGTTAGACTTCCAATCATAATCTTCATGTCGCGATCTCGATCTTTATTGGAGACTCCTTCTTTAACAAACTTGAGATAAGTTTCTTCCTTCGATTATCATAATAGACCGATGGATCATGTTTCAATGACCTCTCATCGTATGATGCATCGCTTGGACTCAGGTCTTTTAGAGTCAAATTCCAGAACAGACTATACCTTCCTTCATGTTCTAACAACATCTTAAAAGGTAGCATTTCTAGCTACAAGCAACTTTTCGCGATACCTCTACTGATCGCTTTTTATTTCAATCTTTCGTCTTAAGTCAGATGCTACATCGAACTTGATTCTCTGAACCACATAACATACTCAGTGTAGTCGGACTCAATTTGATATGACCACTAGGGTCGGAATAACAATCATCTTCTTAATCATTACCGAAACGATGGTAATGACATACTTGAATAAAACGGAATGAATTACTAGCTTCTTGGTAACCTTGTGACTTTCCCTGATCCAAGCGTGAGTCATGTGCTTCCGGTAGTATATGCATCTACTACCTTTCACACCTACTCATACTCGTCCTAAGTATTGTCTCGCAGTCCCCAATTCCTAAAATCACAAACAATTTAACACATACGAGTGTGTCCAAATAATCATAAAAATTTCCCTAGACTCTACTAGGACTTCTTCCATGCATATCTTCAATCATCAATTCTGCTTCAACTCGGTTGGTGATGGACATTCCAGATGATAGGAAAACTTTAGGAATTACACCAATCGTTCTATCATCCCGCCAATCAAATGTGTACATTCAGATGTACCCTACTTTTATAGACGTACCGCTATTTTATAAGACGTATTCTAAAGGCAAGATACTTTTCTTATGATATCTTCCGATAGGTATCATTCAGTATCGTAAGCCATCTCATTTCCTCTATTTTCTCAGTTTATCATGGTTCGCATCACTTCCTGAACTTCTGCCATTGTGATAGGTTCGGGTGCAGGCGCAACGACCGATGCATGACCCATCACATTCTTAGGCTCAGGTTGTCATCTTCCTCTTGTTTTGTACACTCAAGCAGACGTTCGGTGTACCAAGACGAGAATTTAAGATAGGAAAGATCTTATTTACGAATTGACGTATAAATC